TATTGAGTATTTTTGTCTTTCCTGTCCAGTACTTCTCTGCTGGACTACAGAACACTTCTCTCTCTCCTCATCCCCATAACATAAGGCAGATGTGCTCAGTAATATAGTAGGAGAAAACCTATGCAGGGCTGACAGTACTGCTTGAGAGTGCTTCAGTGCCGCAGAGGCGGTGTTGTCAGCTCAAATGGGCACTCACTGGATTTTTGGTAAGATCTAAAAAGGATTTTATCTGTACCTGAAACATTTTAGAGGCACAAAACATAGCTAAATGGATGACCTGTATGTTTGTTTTGTCTTCTGTCTAGACATCAAGAACTTTACAGTAGCACCAGACCATGTTGAGTTGACTTTAACCTACTTGGTTATGGAAGGCAGAGGACTGTGTAGTCTCAACTGGCTTTCCTCACAAGCTGGTCAAGTTAAAGCAGACCGTAATGTAAATGTGAGAGCCTTGTGTCATTTCTTGCTGAAATTGATGAGTAACAAAAGGCTCAGCTGATACTGAAGTCTCTGTTCAGTGCTGGTCTTGGATATGTGACCTTTCCTGAAGGGGAAGATCAGCCAGTCTAAACTCTGATCTTCCTCTTCAGAGATCATATGCACTGATGCCTCGCTCTTTAAATGTTAGCTTTGAAGGCAGCCAGGAGTAGTGTGTTGTCCATGATCTTTATTTTACAGGTCTTTGTTGGCTAATGGGGCTGTTGTGTACATTATGGTGTCAGGAACATTTGGCAGTGGACTTCATTGTAGAGTGTTGCTCAAAATGTTTAGGGTACAGAATTTGGAAAGACAAATTTTCTTTGAAAATATTTTTGTACGGTCTCAATGGATTTGAGTTTTGTACAGTTTGGTAGTACAGAGGTTCAGGCCATCTTGTAGAAGCACTTTGTTTCAATATGTCAAAATACAGTTTTGATTGCTTAGAGGTTTGCTGTATTGATATACTGTATATGTTGTCTTGGAGTGCTGGAGTATGTGTTTGTACATCAATGGGTTGCTTTTTAGGATGGCTTTTGTATTCTAAGCTGCTCCTTCATGCTCTGTGATTGCCCTTGTAAGGATTAAGTAGTCACACTAGACACGTTTCAAAACATGGCAATTGTGCTATAATTGCTTTGTGTGTTGGTAAGCATAGTATTGGGAGTTCTGTGTTGGTGTTAGTTTAGTCTATTCTATAATATATAGCTACTGATAAATCAATGTAATCTATCTGGTTTCTGCAGTAATGTCAAGGTATATTTTTCAATATGCATAGGCTACTGAATGTTTCTCAAGGGATTGTAGGGTCTTGGAGCAGTGTGATTTACAGACCTTCAGAACCTAACTGTACGTCTTATATCCGCTTTCATTACTTTTGCATGAATTATTTCCCTTTTAGTCTTATAAGCTTGTATAGGAGGGGGACACCCATCCTCCTCACCTCATTGCAAGTGAGCTGCTCTATCAACCTGCCAGTTCAGTATTAAGTGGAACTACAGCCAAAGCCTAGTTTTAAATAGTGGGGAAAGGTTAGAACCTTTTTATCAGGTTTTTATTTTTTTTAAAGAAGGATATGTTGGTGGAGCAGGATATTGAGGTGAGCTCGTCGAGGATATTCCTGGATTGACCGTAGTAAGTTTGGTAGAATAAAGCATGCGCCAGACACATTGGTTGATGGTCCGGTTTACTTCCTCCATCCATTGGGGGACACAATAATTCTAAAACCTTCGGGTTATACTGCCACCTACAGGAGGATTGGACACTGGCAAACAAACTGTAGGGCATATATATATTAGTAAAATGCCTCCAATTTGGCTAGTGTCCTGGGAGGATAGACTTCTTTACTTCACCTCTGCTGAGTCAGGTCTTAAAGTGACACTAAACTCAGGAGTTAAATACTCGAAAGGCATTCAAGTGCTTTAACTATTGACAAAAATGTATATTATTTGTGTATCACTCGGCTGTAGATTCTCAAATCATCTCTGCATTGGTGCTGACACTGTCCTGCCTTCTCGAGGGGAGCTACGTTTGTTCCCTGTGTGTGTTGTAAAGTAACCACCGCTCCAAGCTCCCTCCTGTGATGGACTACAATCTCAATACAAATTGGTAAACTAAACGTGAGATTGTAGTCCATCACAGGAGTAAGCCTAGAGCGGTGACTACTTTACAACACACACAAGGACCATGGAGAACAAAAGTAGTCCCCCTCCAGAAGGAAGGACAGTGTCGGCACAAATTCAGAGATGATTGGGGGATCTACAGCCGAGTGATACACAAGATACATTTTTGGTAAACGTTAAGGCACCTTAACTCATTTTTATGCTTTAACGCCTGCGATTAGTGTCACTTTAACCTGTACTTTCTTCTAGCATCTTTCTTTTTCAATCACGAAGCATTTCTTCCAGCTGCCCAGGTTCAGTAAGTACTCGAGACTTTGCTTCATACCTCCGACCTTCCCTTTCTACCAACTTTTTTTCAGTTATTTCTGTATAAAGATTGGAAGTGCCCTGATGGCTTATGTGTTTCTCCCTAGCGTTTGATGTCCCTCCCCACTTAGTGAAGAGTTTGTTACAAAGTGGTCTGTCCCTACTGTGCATCTGGCAATTTCTCACCTTAAAGGAGAACTATGGGGTCAGTGTTTTTCCCCATAGTTCTCCTTAGGGTAACGGGAGGACACAAACTAGCGTCCTCCCGTTACCCTAAGCTCAGTATACCACGAGCTACAGCTCGCGGTATACTGAGACGCCGCACCTGGAGCGGATCCCGACGTAGATGACGGGATCCGCCCAGCTGCATGAGTGACAGCTGGCTCTGCCTATCTAGAGGGCCAGAGCCAGCTGTACCCGCCCCCACCCCCCCGTTCCGCCAGTCAGCGCTGGCAGATCGGAGCGGGGAGAGGGGAATCCAGCCCCTCCCCTGTCACGGCAGAGAGCCGTGACAGGATCGAGAGGTGAGCGAACGCCGGTATGTGTTCCCTCACCTCCCGATCTACTGAGCCGACCTGTGACAGTCTCATTGTCACAGGTCGGCTAGAACTATGAGGTGAGTGGAAATCACTCATCTCATAGTTCTCCTTTTAAGTAGTCAACCATTATTCTGGTGGTTGACACACCTTCCTTTAAGGACCTCACAGTTAATGCTGGAAGCTCTTTCTAGGGCATTGTTCTCCAACAGGATCAGTTAATACTTTGTTCTGACTGTATTGCTCTACCAAACCATGGCCCAATAGTCCTGATCGCTTAAAGGGGATCTCATCTTTATATTGAAGGCCATGCAAAGCTATTGCCCTGCAGATCATTGATCTCGTGGCTCAGATGTCTCTGGTTCTAAACTTTAGCTGTGTTGTCTTCTATCTTGCATTAGTCTCTTGTTAGTTTTATCATATGTGCACAGGTCCCTGTGGACTGCAAAACTTGCTTGCAAGAAGCGCTTGCTGTGCATGGCCGCCATCTAGACATGACAACATCTCTTCAGATCTACTGTGGATGATGTTAAGATGCTATCAGGGCAAGAGTTCTCAGTCTATGATGGAAGAAGCCTACGGAGTATACAAGAAAGTCCCGTCTCTTCATCATCATTCTCAGAATCGTTGCTTTTACTTTACTATGGCCTCGACATCCACAGCACTCAGACCTCAGGGCTGTGACTGCTTATATTAGAGGTCAAAAATATTGGCTGTAAGATCTGCCATGGCTTCTATTTACCAGGAGATGGAAAAATGCCTACTACAATGTACACATCTTTCATTTTGCTCTTTGCAGTGGGGTCCCTGTACTACCAGTTTGTGGCCCTTCTATTCTACCTTTTTTTTAGGGAACAGTTGGCAAGGACTCTGGAGGACAAATGTGTGTGACTGTCCAGATCAAGCAGAAGGTTTACATGAATTCTAAACCTCTAGAAGTAATCATCAGTTTTGACTCATTGCTCTGAGTATCGGGGGCTGGTTCTAAACACTTACTGGGCCAGGGTGTTGCTTCCCCAGAAAAAGTAACTCTCGAGTCAAGACTCAAGTCTCGTGTGCTTCATACCAGGACGAGTCTGACTGCAGATGCTTCTGCATATGTTTTGGGTCTGATGGTAGCTTCCTTTTGAGGCAGTTCGTTTGCCCAGATCCATTCCAGAAATTTGTCACTTGACATTTTGTCATAGTGGGACAAATCTGTATAGTCTCTGGGCAAACATTTGTTTAATACAAAGCGCCGAGGTGCCCCAGTCTTGATGGCTTCAGATCCAGGTCCAACATCAGGGAGTTGTTCCTTCCCTTGTTCTGGAAAATCGTGATAACGAATGCCAACATGTTGGGCATGAGAGGTGACCTGGGCACTTTGTTAGTACAGGGGACTTGTTTGCTGGTCAAATCTTGTCTCCAGATCAACACCTTGGAGCTTCAGACAGTTATACTGTCTCTTTAGCCTTGGGCCCCTCTGTTGATGGACCATCTGATCTATACTCAGTGGGACAATACCGCGGTGGTAGCTTACATCAAACGTCAGGGAGGACTTGGGCACAACATCATGATCCAGCGCATTTCAGCTACGTACATCCCCAGTGTGGACCATTAGCAAGTATATTTTCTCAGCTGGCTTGTGTCTAGACCTGGGTGAGTGGCCTCTGCACTCAGATGTGTTCCAAGACCTGTGTGGACCTCCCCTGGCCTCCCAGGTTAACAAACTGGACATGTTTGCATCCAGGCTTTGGGATCTGCTGGTAGAACATCATGCCTGGTCTTCTGGTAAAACTAGGGAGAAAGTGTGAACAGATTTCTGCCAGCTTCAAGCATATGTCCTTGAGGCTGATCTTTGAGTTGCAGGCAGTCCCGAGTTCTTGTTGGGTCTGTTAGCTGTTTTTTGGCAATGTTGCCCACCCCTCGATTTAACTGCTTTTGGATGTCTTGAGAATTTTAGAATCCCTGTGCCCTTCATTGGACAAGAGGATAGGATTGTTGTGTTCTCTGTAAAGAGTCCATTTAGGAACACAGGTCACACTTTGAGTTTTATAATCATGCTTTTGTTACTGCTTTTGTTACTGCTTTGCTACTATATTGAGGCTTGCTGGTAGTTGAGGGGATTCACCCACGCCTGATCAACTTTTTTTGGTGTGCCAGTGCTCCTGTAAGTGGCATCACAACCCTAAGGTTTCAGACTTCCTATGCCCCCAGTGGACTATTTCCTATTTTACTGCTGTCCCCAGGAAAGTAGGGGTGAAATCCCTTTTTAGGAGCACATCTTTTTGGGTGTGGTTTTTTTTTTTTTTTATCCCATCCATTTAAAGACACTTTCCCTCCTTAAAAACCTAACTGGTTCTAACCCATCCTTACTCTTTTAGCCAAAAATTTTGGCTGAAGTTCAACCTCTTTTAGGTTTACAACTGTGTAGTTCAATGGCCTGTGTGATGGGATATACGTTAATTGGAATGTTTAGGTAGACTTTGCTCCTCCATAGTTCTTGGTAGGAATGTACCAATACCTGTATTTTTTTTTTCCGGGAACTCGCCAATACCAAGTATCGGGTGTCACATTCAGGAAGCCAGGCGGCGTGTAAAAGCTCGCCACCCAGCTTCCCGATTAGCAGGGAAGCCATCCCCATGTTTCTCGTCACTAGGTGACGAGTAAGCATGGACCTGGCTTTCTGGCCAATCAGGAAGCCTGGCGCTGTATAATGACGCGGCGCCCGGCTTCCTGATTGGCCGTGAAGCCGACTCCATTCTCCCCTGTCATGAGACAAGGGAGAATGAAGCCGGCTTCTGACCAATCAAACAAAGTTTTCTTTAGCTCTTGGCGCTAATGGCTGCCAGCTGAACAATCCACTTGCTGTTGCACACTCAAAGTTTTCAACAATTTATCACAGTTTTTTACACAGACTTGAGGGGCTGCTCATCCAAGGCTCTGGGGCTTCCACCACAAATATAGAAAACAAAAGGGAACAGAGCGCCACCTACATGTGTAAAATCGTTTATTACAATAAATAAAACAAGGGATAAAAGTACTCACAAACATTTTCATCAGGCTTTAACAACAAATGAGAGGCCACACTGTCTGTTAACCCAACATGGGATATCCCCGACCATGTAACATGGTGGTCTCCGGTCACATCACCGACCGCAGTCAGCCAAGATTGACGCGTTTCAGGGGCAAGCCCCCTTCCTCAGAATCACCAATCAATCATGATTCTATATTCGCCACCACGAATATAGAATGTTCCCTTTTGTTTTCTATATTTGTGGTGGAAGCCCCAGAGCCTTGGATGAGCAGCCCCTCAAGTCTGTGTAAAAAAACTGTGATTGTTGAAAACTTTGAGTGTGCAACAGCAAGTGGATTGGAGGTGGCGCTCTGTTCCCTTTTGTTTTCCGACCAATCAAAGCCCGGCACCGCGTCATTACACGGTGTCTGGCTTCCTGATTGGCCAGCTTCCGACCACAAGTGACGAGAGAGTATGGAGCCGGGATCCCGGCCAATCAGGAAGCCAGGCAGGGTGTAATGACGCGCTGCTCGGCTTTCTGATACTGAAAGTATAGGGCTGAGCATTTGGGCGCGTATAAGTACTCGCCCAAATACTCGGCATCTGCACCGATACTAGTATCTGTGCATCCCTAGTTCTTGGTAAATGTAATTTACCATTTCTGAATGGCACCTTGCCGACGTGTGGATGTTGTGGCGGAACACACCTTTTCTGAGTGCTTTAGGCATGCCATTCAAATAAATGGACTTCCGTAATATGTTAACCAGTTGACATCCGCGGTGTTAAACCCCCTTCCCATGCATTGTATTTTTCTTGTTCTTGCATTGTGCCTGCACTGAGCAATAGAATCAACAGATGTAACCAAACACTTTCAATGGCTTATTTAAGAGGCTGAAATAGAGACAATAATAGGCTGTAATTGTTAGGGTTTACATACATTTTAAACTTCTTTAGATACCTTGTCAGTTTGGGCGATCCACTGGGGGTAGGGGGTTGACTCCATATATTATGGAGAAGGTGGTTAAAGGAAAGGACTATTGTACGATTGGGCACAATAAGGGGGGGATTAGTTAAGAATCGTATGTGGCGCTGTGTAAGCGAATTGTAGATATGACTGATTGTGCAGGAATAGAGATTTAGAAGAGCTGGTGGGGATGACTGCATACATGAAATCGAAGCCACGCTGTTGCTTGTTCCAAATGTCTTTGCACCTTCTATATAAACAGCAAAAAGATTTCCCAGCACACTCACCAGCCAGCATGCAAAAAAACTTGTCTCGCTGCTAAGGTTAATAACAGAGGTTTAGATACACGTCTTCTGCAGAAAATGTGAAAGCCGTGCCAAGTCACCTCTAAATAGTGCGGTCCTAGCTCTAAACTATGAGAGTCTCCATCTTGGAGCACATATGGCAAAAGATCAAATTGGGTGCAGGTTTGTCAGGAGGTAGCCCAACGTCCCTTTAAAGGCACAGGGATGCACCTGCTTGGCTTCTATATAAGGTGTCCAGGCCTGTACCTTGTCATACTGAGAAAATGTTTCTTTAGGCTGATATCTACTCTGAAATATATTTGATGGCGTTGTTGTTGTTTGACATCTATGTGTGTGATATTACCTCAATTTGAGAGCTGTGCCGTTGTTTTCCCCAGGTGATCAATGAACACCCAGATGCTTCCAGAGAAGAGATTGAAGAGCTGCTTGAGTCACAGTGGAACATGCTCAGTGATAAACAAAAAGCTCGCTATAATACAAAGTTTGCCATTCTCACCTCTCCCAAATCTGAAGAAGACTCTGGTAAACATCATAGCCACAATGTACTCTGAGGCATTTTAATATCGCTTGTGGTTTTAAAGGGGAAATAATGACCCGTCTTTCTTCTAATTTCTTTTAACCAGTTAACCCATATTTATACACTTAATAGCCCAGCCTGTGATTACTGTGGTTCCTCTCCCTTTTTATCCCATAAGTAACAGGTATGGAATAGGTTTCTATTAACAAAGCCATTCTTGAAAGACTTTTCCCTACCCTACGTTTACTCTGCTTTTTACCTCAACAAGCATTAAGCTGAGCTGCCAGACTGGGTGTAGGAGCCGGTCCATAATCACAGGTGGTCATCATTCTCAGAGGGCCAGTGTAAAGCAAATCAGTGCAGTTTTTTTTTTAAACATGCGTAATTTAGGATTGCTGAGGCATAGGCTGCATAGGACTCAGCAAGCCACTATTGGATGAGACTGGAGCCACAGTTTTTTTGTTTTCAGTTTGCTATGCACTAAACTGGAACTCTGGGCACTTATTCAAAAACACCTGTTAGTCCAGCTATACATTTAAAGTGGAACTTTGGGCAAAACCAAAAAAATTACATTTATGACTCTCACTAACATTAATGCCATAGTCCCCTATTGCATGTCAGCTCTGCCAGTAGATTCATTATTCTTTCATTTACTGTGAGGCCTTGTTCACACCAAGCACGTTCCAAGAGCAGAGCACTTACAGACCGGAGCAAAACTGCGGCCAATTTTATTTTCAGCTCCAGTTCACATCGCAGCGTTCTGTTCCAGAGCAGGTAAAAACTGCAGCAGGCCCTATTTTACCTGCTCTGGAACACATTCAAATACATTAAAACCGCATGCAAACGCCCTGGAACGCACTGAAAGCCCATTTTAAACTAAAAAATATATATATTTTTTTAACCAAAAACGGCCTGGAACGCATCAAAAACGCGGCACAACCCACTGCACTGCGTGTGCAGAAACTCATGCAGATCTGCTCTGCATTTGGTGGAACAAGGCCTTAAAGGCCCCCCCCCCCACCC